GTAAGTGGCTCATTATTCCTGTAATGTTTTGTTTTTCTTGGCTTGAGTGCTCACAACGATCCGGCTGACGTTGAGGCCGTTCAGCTCCCAAGATTGTGCTGGCAAACCGAATCTGGCTGGAGGGTCGTTGTTGGTACGAGTGCTGATGTTCGATGTGTAAATAATTTAAAATCTTATTGGTGAGTTTTTTGGCAAAGCTATGGCCGTCAGGGCGACCGTGCATTTCTAGGGGGTGTTTGTGCTTGTTCCGTTCTGTGCAAGCTGCTGTTCTCAGACACAACGACAGATTTGGTGGCAAAGCAGCAGGTCTCCCTTTGTATTATGCAGGATGGAGGTGCGGCCATTGTCACCCATGGTGATTTATAGAGGAGGTAAAGCTGAAGTGCCGGTCCGGGTTTAGGTGATACTGTATCTGTGGGGAATATCACAGCGAAGGTCTGAGCAGTAGTTTCAAAGTCATTTGGTGAACTTCACTTTCGTGTTCACTCTTTCATAAGTCATCTTTGCACTTGATGACACTTTGACCAATGTGAAAGTTCTGAAATTGTAACGATCAAAGCTAAAGACTCAAATGTGCTCCGTGAATGTGGTGTTTACAGTAATGACTGTCATAAATCAGCATGTCAGAAGTGCTAGTGCATAAATCTCAGGCAAGGTGGGAAAAAGTCACCACATGGCACACTCTAGTGTGTGTGTGTGTGTGTGTGTGTGTGTGTGTGTGTGTGTGTGTGTGTGTGTGTGTGTGTGTGTGTGTGTGAGTCCATGCATGGGTATTTATTGTAATAGTGGGCATCCCTTGGATTAATGGATTATAGGGCTTATGGGTCATGAGTATTTTGTGTGAACGCAGTGAGGCGTGAAGCGTAAAAACATCCCAACACTTGAGTCTGCATCAACCCAGTCTCACCATATCACTAAACTGGGAGCTCTGTTAACTGGGGCACAGCACTGGTATTAGCCTGAGCCCAGCTGTGAACAGACAAGCACGTTACACACATTTGCACGTGCAACACACAAACCCAAATCCATTCAGATGCTAACCTCGCACCTGAAAACAAGAAACCCAGGCACTTTCTTGTGGCTGAATGTCTGGACCTCGGTGCTTCTTCGGAGCGATGTCTTCATTTCACACTCGTAATAAACCCCACTGCACAAAGGCAGAAAACAGAGTGATTGGCTCAATGCCTCTCTGGTGTCCTTCCAAAAATGTCAATGTTTATTTAAGAGAATGAGAAGGTCATAAATGTTCAGTTCATGATGGATGCATTATTGCATTTATTGACCCACCTTGGTTTTCAGCTTAGTCTGAGACAAAGTAAAGCTTGATTTATGCTTGATGCATTCACTTTCCGCGCGGTGATGAGGCTCGCGGATGGAACGCGCTTCACAACTCGCAGCGTTTATGGTTTGTGCGGCTCGTCTCTGCGGTGAGCCAATATTCTCCCAAACTGAACGGGGCAGCATGGAGCTCTACAGCATGCATCCAACACTACACCATAGTAGAAGTAGAAATCACTGTTTACAACATGGCTTTTCAGCATTTTTAACAGCGTTCTCGTCTTTTCCGACAGTGCGAGCTATTTCTCTCCAAGAATTATTAACAACATGTTGATCACGGTGATCTCTGAGAGTTGAATCATACAAATGTCTGTATTTACGAACCTCTGCCGTGCCGGTCCGCCATGTTTTTCCGCGCCCGACCGTCCGCGTGGTTAGAAATTTTCCGAGGTGCGCGTTGCGGAAATCTTGGGCCGTGCGGAGACGCGGTGGAGGGGCGTGGTTGTTAAAATGACGCAAAATGACACAACTTTTCCGCGCGGAGCCGTGCGGACCTCGCGGACGCGTCAAGCATAAACCAACCTTTAGTGCTCTGGTTGTGGCACGACTACAGTAGATTATTACACCGATACCTGGTCAATATAACAAATATAATATAGCATTCACTTTTTGCATTACTAAAACTTTTAATTATCAAATTGCCACAGGTAATGTGGATACAATTTCATATCTAAGATGTACAAAAACATTTAGAAAACTTATTTAGAGAAAAAGGGAGTTTGAAACACACTCAGTCATTATCTTAACCATCCTCAGAAGGTCTCGCGGAGCTGGCGCCTGTCTGTGGCAGTCATCTAGTCATCTAGAGACACCCTGCATGGACAGGTCCCCACTCACTCACTCACTCACTCACTCACTCACTCACTCACTCACTCACTCACTCACTCACTCACTCACTCACTCACTCACTCACTCACTCACTCACTCCTAGACACAATGTAGAGTCTCCAGTTAACCTGACATGCTTGTTTTTGGGCTGTGAGAGGAATTCTGAGTACCTGGAAAAAAATACATGCATGCATGAGGAGAACATGCAAACTGCACAGAAAGGCTGCAGCCAGGCAATAGCACTACCGACTGCTCCACCGTGCAGTCCCTCATTGTAAAATAGTCATGCATTAACAGAAAACATCGTCGTCGTCTTCCTCCGCTTATCCGGGTCCGGGTCGCGGGGGCAGTATCCCAACTAGGGAGCTCCAGACCGTCCTCTCCCCGGCCACCTCCACCAGCTCCTCCGGCAGGACCCCAAGGCGTTCCCGGACCAGATTGGAGATGTAACCTCTCCAACGTGTCCTGGGTCGACCCGGGGCCCTCTTCCGGCAGGACATGCCCGAAACACCTCCCCGGGGAGACGTCCAGGAGGCATCCTGACCAGATGCCCAAACCACCTCAACTGACTCCTTTCGATCCGGAGGAGCAGCGGTTCTACTCCGAGTCCCTCCCGAATGTCCGAGCTCCTCACCCTATCTCTAAGGCTGAGCCCGGCCACCCTACGGAGGAAACTCATTTCGGCCGCTTGTATCCGCGATCTCGTTCTTTCGGTCATTACCCAAAGCTCATGTCCACTCCTTGAACCGTCGCTTCTCCTTGAACCATCACCTTATCGTGGTGGAGGAGTTTGAGTGCCCTAATGATCCTAGGAGCTATGTTGTCTGGGGAACTTTGTGCCCCTGGTAGGATCTCCCATGACAGAAAACATCTACCTTAAAAACAACTTTTCTTATTTCTGATCTGTAAATTAAAAGTATAAAATAGTTAATGAGCATTTACCATTTCTTATAGCATCAACCTAAATATTAGAGTTTAAAGCTTTGCAAGACTTGACGCTAACACAGGAACACCATCAGCAACCTGTACAAATGCCTTAGAGCACATAAGTCCATTTTTAGCAGAAGTTGCAAGGTCATTAATTTCCACTTTTCCTTAAGAGGCGGCCACAAGAGATTTGTGGGAAGGCTTTTACTTCCCATGCATTCTCCAGGCTCAATTTGTGCTTAACCCTGTTCAGGAGTGAAACCCCACCACCGATAACTGGCTGCTGCACACCACTAATAAGGAGGTGGGAAAGAAGCTTTAGATTTGGAGGCTGGTGGCTTTCAATTCACGTGATGCCTAGCTTGTTGCTCTTAATGGAAGTGCTTCAAAGCTGGCCTAAGAGCATGCTGAAGCTCTTCCTATATCGCGCGCGTGTGTGTGTGTGTGGTGTGTGTGTGTGTGTGAGTGAAACTCATTTTCTGTTGAGCATTCACTGAACTTTTACTCTGGCATTGTTGCTATTAAAAGCTTCCCCACATGCAACTTCCTAGAGCTTACTACTTTGTTTTTCCTCTGGACCCTAAGTCATCGTGTTGATGGTCAAACCAGGGCTCTGTTTAAAGAAAGTGGGGTGATGTGGTGACTCAGCCCGTCAGCGTGTGACCGCTTGCAGCTCATCGTGGACTTTTGGAGCTCCTCAATTTGGGGCAGTGGCCCACCTATTTAAAGGTCACTGGTGCTAGGAATAATGAGATGAGTCATCATCGCGGGGTCAGGATGGGGTGCCTGAGCGCTCCGGAGCTGAGCGATATGAGGGTGACAGGTATGTTGTACCACGACACTCCTGGGACTGTGCCGTTTTAACTGTGACACTTTAAAAATCACAAGGTTACAGAAGCTGGAATCGAGGTTTGACCCTTTACTTCTGTCATCTCATCTCAAGACTGATGAAGGAATGGTGCGCTGCAGTAACTGGACACCAAGTACCTTAGGGAACACTTCTGTCTGGATGTGTGCACACGCACAAGCACGCACGCACGCAGTGCCGACATCAGCCATCCTTGAAAGCAAGTTTACTACCAAGTCATCGTCCGCCACTTAGCCTGGTAACTTAAAGCACAAGGTAAACACTCTAGGCACTTCTATGCATATGCTCATTCTTAGCCCTCCAGCAGTTGTTCATGACCATCTGGCTCCTCTTTCTTATAAGGGATTAGAGGAGTCTGAGCTGCAGGGGGGGGGACTTTCAGCCAGATTAGAGCAGTATTGGGTTGTGCAGTTAAGGATTGAGAGCACAGCTCCTTAGGACAGCTCTGTGCTAAAGCCAACATCATCAAAGCAAATGCCCTTTGTGGTGTGATGTGTGACAACGAACGCGGTTTAGTCGGCTAGAGAATCTGTTGTGCACTCTTTCTGATACACACTTTCAAACAGTGTCTATTGGACCAGCCTGGTCAGGCGATTGATGATAAGTCCTGTTGGTGTCAGGCATGAGAGCATCTCAGTGTTGGTGTTCTTGCTGGGAGCAGGGATTTCCCCTTATTTTCCTGTAAACTCTTGGCATGCACAGCATCTCGTGTTAAGCCTTGAAATTCAGTAATCATGTGTCCCTCGCTCCGAGTTTTTATCAGGCCCAGTGGCACTGTGTACTTTTTGGAACAAGAGTTTAAAAATGGGTCTGGGTAAAACAATAATTTTGTCTCCAAGTCACAAGAACCATCACACACAAGCTTGTTTTCTTTGTTAGAGATGAGTCGTACAGCAGCTCCATGGTCCTGTCCCAGCTGTGCCATTATCATCCCATATCAAAAGCTAAAGTCTCATTTGATATTCATATTTAAAGCGAAAGTGTCAGTTCAGCAGTCTTATCCCTCTAACACAACAAGGGTAGCATCAAAGCGCCTTTG